ACACCACTCCTTCAGCAATCGCCCCCCTCTTCAGCCCTCTTGCCCACCCCCCATTATTGCCCACCCACTAAAGAATGACAAAGCCAGATGTCCAAGAACTGATCAATTAGAGCCAACTTGCTATCCGGCCATAAACTTGCCGTAACAATTGGAATGAGTTTGATATGTCCTGCTATGCTGGGACGACGTTATAAAACGGGGCAATAATTGATACAAGAATATCCCATCGTCTCGCCCCGCTGCCACAAAGATGCGGGCAATGGAAACTGCCTTTGTTGGGTATTATTCAAGAAATTTTATCACATCGCAACAATGGTTCTAAATATGTCTTTCAATCGGATTGGTAAAGAGGGAGAAAATACTAAAAAGGTGATATTAATGACATTTCCTTTTCCTGTCGATTACAAAGCCTTAATGATCACATGTCCTGTAATTAGCCATGCCAGGAAGTTTTTTTAAGTTTAGCGGTTTATTCAGAAAGTTACCCAAGTGCAACCATTAGATAAGCAAGTTTCGTTCTGCTTCATAAAGTACACATGTCTAAACAATATCGTACCATAGGTTTTGTCCCTCACTGAAAGTATTTGCTTGTTACTGTGTCAAATATTCTGGCAGCTCTGGCAGACCGGTTAAAGTGGAGCTCTTAAGTCAATTCAATTTACTTTTAAAGGGTGATCAATTTGAGCAGCTGATGGGATGAGTATCTTCAGAAAAAATCAAGTTTGTACAACTTTTTCTCAATATTTACCTTCATAATGATAGATTAACAGTTGAAAAGATTGCGATACCGTTGCGTTTGAAGGCGAGTTTATTAGTCGCCCGAATGACGGTATTTTACGATATTGCTCAGATTAAAGTTAACTGATCTGCTTTGAAGACAGCACTACTTCATCTCCGAGTGCAAGATGGCGATGTTTGAGAATTATGAATGTTGAGAAATGGTGACCTCACGCACGGCAGCCATGTTTGTCAGGAGAACGGCGGCGGGGTGTGTGTTGACACTGAGGCTGATCGGCAGTAGTCTTATAGCCCTCAAACAGTGTATAAATCCTCCGGGAGCACTTTAAAAGAAGCCACATCTCTACTTTCTTCGGGCCCAACTACACCAGTGTGTACACGGTCTTAAACAGGGTTACAAACCACATTCAGGAATGTGGTAGCTCTGTCGTCTGTTTGCGATGGCGATGACGGTTGCCCTGAAGATATTACTCCCCTTATCAGGCGGTCCGAACCTCAAGGGCTATATAGTACAACGCTTAGGAAGATTTAGTCCTTAATTCCGGGATATGCTTCCAAGTACACTTTCCGTGAATGTCAGATCGTCATATGAATGGACGCGGCAAGGCAGAACTCTTGTCTACTGATAACTGTATTGGTGTCGGTAAGATGGATAACGGTCATTGATGTCAATGATATTGGTCATTGGTCTGATGCAATACCATGTTAGCTAAGAGTAATCTGACCTGGAAACAGTTTATGACGAAAATTTGAAACCATTATCGATTTGTATAAATCTGAAGGGGTTAATTCTTGTTACAGTAATCCCTTAAAAGGTGTGTGTAGAAAAAATGGCTTTACGTTTGTTCTAATGAATAGATTCAGTTGAAATAATGCAATTGGGTACAGAGATTCGTGACGAATATTGTTTGAAATACGGAGAATACTCGTTATGCGTGGCATTGTTTCCAGCGTGAATCTCTGATCTCTGTTAGAACGGCATTGAACGATCGTTGACTTTGGTTGTAAAATCATTTCAAAGGGATCATTTACGTATAAGAGCAGACTTCAAAGGTATTCGAATCGATAGTTGATGAACAGATTTCGCAGACGTCAATACTTATTTTCGCCTTCAATGCTGGATTGTCCGGAGGCTATTCATTCTGAATTTGTTTGTTTATTTTGAATATTTCCTAGAGCAAAATGTGTGTGTTTAGTTGCTTTGCTTCAGGGAGATACAATTTATCAACGCGAAAGCATGTCACGTTTTCGACCGATGTGCAAGGCAGACGACAAAACAGCGACACTTAGAGGCAAACTGCTCCAGCAGACGACACGGTTTACATGTTAATGTTTTTGTACAACTCATATGATAAATCTAAACTTGTCAATGCAAACTTGTGTTTATTTTAGCTCTTTTGTATTTAGAACACGTTTTCTGTTTATATCTAAAGTTTGCCACATAACCAAAAACCATAAGGACATATTCGCCCTCTTGTCTGATACACATCAAATAATTGCCAACCAGTCCTCACACTAAAACCACTGCACTGAAAGACCCTTGTTTGTAAAAGGATAATATCTAGAATGTAATCATTAAAGATAATGATACAAATAGCCACGATAGCATACGTGGACAAATTAACACTGTCAGGCGGCATGACCAGACCTTTGTCTATGACAAACTGACATGAACTTTGCACCAATGGTTTGTTCACATCTGTGATACACGTATCTGTCTTTTATAACCGAGTTTTTCACGATCACTTTTACCGGACCAGGACCCATCAATTTTCTAGCTGACAATCTCCCACCATAAACCATCTTAGACCGTCACTCGGTAGGCGAGTCGCTCAAGTGAAAACATCACCGGCATGACTGACTACAGACAGGCCACATACCGACTTCGTATCTGTCAATATAGCGCCCTCTCTGCTCCCTATACATCACAGAATGGCCCACTGATATGTGTATGTCCTACACCAGATCTTCTGTTTTTGCATGTGTATCATATATATGCTTGTATGTGTATCCCACATATGCTTGTATTTGTATCGCATATATTCTTGTATGTGTATCTCATATATGCTTGTATTTGTATTTTATATATGCTTGTATGTGTCCTGTATGCTTGTATGTGTCCTATATGCTTGTATGTGTGTTGTCCTATATGCTTCTATGTGTGTATTATATGCTTGTGTGTGTGTGTGTCTTATATGCTTGTAAGTGTGTCCCATATGCTTGTATGAGGCCTATATACTTGTGTTTGTCCTATATGCGTGTGTGTCCTATATCATATGTGCTTGTATGTGTTATATATACTTGTGTGTGTGACCTATATGCTTGTCTGTGTCCTATATGCTTGTATGTGGCCTATATGATTGTATGTGACCTATATGATTGTATGTGTCCTATATGCTTGTGTGTGTCCCATATGCCCGTGTGTGTCATATATGCTTGTGTGTGTCGTATATGCTTGTATGTGTCCTATATGCTTGTGTGTGTCGTATATGCTTGCATGTGTCGTATATGCTTGTATGTGTCGTATATGCTTGTATGTGTCCTATATGCTTGTGTGTGTCGTATATGCTTGTGTGTGTCATATATGCCTGTGTGTCGTATGTGCTTGTGTGTGTCCCATATGCTTGTGTCTGTCCCATATGCTTGTGTGTGTGTCGTATATGCTTGTGTGTGTCGTATATGCTTGTATGTGTCCTATATGCTTGTGTGTGTCCCATATGCTTGTGTGTGTCCCATATGCTTGTGTGTGTCCTATATGCTTGTATGTGTCCTATATGCTTGTATGTGCATATTTTCATCCTCTTTATCGGATAACTGGCATGTAGTTACTTATTTGATTTATCTATCTGTGTTTTATCTTCTAAATTTTGTTGTATATTCTGAATTCCTTATCCTGATAATATATAAGTTACTTTATTTGATCTCAATTAATTAACTGATAAATAGAAGATGTATTATGTAGATGTGTTACCAATATGCTTTGTCCAATTTGAATAAGTGAAATCCATTCGTGAAAACCTTCTGCAAAGACCGGGTATACTAGAGTGACAAGTGTTGAATTCGGTTGCTGCATGTCTCGATGTATATTTCACACATTGTGATCATTGTGACGTCGCGTCAGCGGAATGCAAACTGTCACTAAGCTCCATGTTGGTCCCAGGTGTGCCCGCTAATTAACGACATGGTCACGGTTAATTAAACTAAGTACTTACTACTGCATGTGCCATATGATGTTGGTTGCATATTACAAATTGAATGAAATCCATGTCAGGTCAGAATGTGTTATTTCACCTGTCACCTACGCATCTCACTCAATTTCACTCGATACGTTCACACCTGACTGTGATACATATTCAATATATGAAATCGGAATACCGGTATAAAATAAACTACTTTTACCTTGAATAGTGTGAGTAAATATATATCGGAAAATAAATATTGACTAGAATAATACAGGTCAACTGTTATATACAGAAGGTTGTCTAACGTACGAAAACGTACGACTTGACCTCTACTTGTTCTTATGATGTTTAGCCGACACTTCAATAACTCTTCAAACGGCTCCACTGTGTCAACCGAGGGTTATTGACAACTTGCGTTCACGCTCACAGGGGGATTTGTGAGGACACCGACATACTACACTCGGATAGAGGGTAAGAGGGAGGGAGAAACGAAGGAGGGACGAGAAGATTTGATTTGGCAACCTTATCCTCCCGTAATTCCGACTTCGTGTCAATCATGCTTATATTTAATTGCATGTATAAGCATTGATTACATTTTGAATATGGGGACTCTATATTAACGTTAATATGTACTAAACGAGCATTGATACCTGTTTCGAAAGTTTCCTAATGTGGATCGATATTCGATGCTATTAAGCTGACCTGCTGATTGTATCATTGACTGGTTTCAGAATAACGCGAGAATTTTAAATTAAGGTAAATAGTTGCATAAACCCCCCATATCGGTAATAAACCGACACGAATCGCGAACGTTTAAAGTTTAGGAAAGTTTGACGAATCTATGTAAAATAACAACAACAAAATATGGTAAATGATTCACATGTATATCTGACGTAAATGGGCATGAGAAATAATAGAAAAGGCAAACATATTTTAGTAAGAAAAGAAATCTTAAGCGAAAAGGAAAGCTTGATAGAGGTTTCCCACGTTGGGACCTCCCCGTGCCCCCCGTTATAGCGCGCGTGTTTTCCCTACAGGCGAAGACAGATACAGTGTTGACTGTGGGTTTGTTTTACTCACCACGATCACAGCCAGGAAACAGATCCAAGACATGTTGACAGATCGCACTTGACAGTCAGACACACAATATGCTTGTAGTAAATTCCTTGCGCTGCAACCAAGTATATAGGGACGCGAGTTGAACTGACACGCGTTGTTGTAGAGCTCAACCGCTACATCTCAACACACGGGCCTCACTGCGGCAACTGTCACTCAATGCATCTCGTGTCAGTTTCAAGGCAGGATCGATCTGCTCTCTGATTGGCTGAGCGAGAGGTGACAGTGATTTATACCTTTGTAAGTAGTGGCTCCATGAGCCATATATGGGTAGTCTTTATTTACACTAAGCACATGGTAGGACTGTCGGCGTCTTTTGAAGATTGGATAAGTGAGAGCCTTTAGAATACTATTTGTGTTCAGTGACCCGACAGAAAAGCTTCAAGTGAAAATAAGGCCCCGAGTTAACAGAAAGAGACAGTGCGAGTTCCGCTTCAGCGCCTAGCTATCTCCGCGGGATTTTTATGACTTACTAGGAATATACAAAGAGGTCGCGCAGCATACACGATCATAAACTGAGGGAAGAAGACACAACCGATTCATCAGATAACTTTTGTATAGCTTCAAGATGTGAAGCTTAGAAAATAAATAAATAAATAAATAAATAAATAAATAAATAAATAAATAAATAAATAAATAAATAAATAAACATAAATAAATAAACAAATTATTTAGAAAAACTGTACATTGTGCTAGTCGAAAGCCATATATGTCTCCTGTTCAATTAGGCATTTGACACCGACCAGACGTTCCTGGATTTTAATGAGATCGATAGAGATCGGGTAATGAGAGACACATGCGGCAATGGAAGTACTTAGACATATTTATTAGGTAGGTAATATCTACAAATTGGATTGGCACTAGAGATGGGTTAATCCTTTTGGTATTCCCACTTCTGAGACAGATACTACATAACTGCACGTACAAGCGCCGTCGGGTCAAGCAAGCTCACCAATATAGATGTACAAATTAATGACCAATTAAATTGGCGGCTTAACGACGCGGATCATGCCCCGTCAAAGCCCTAAAATCCATTTTAGACAGTTGTTACGAAAACTTGTTGTTAACTTCGTCTAATGATGGATTGTCTTTTTAAAGACATTTTTGTGACACCCACCCTTTTAAACCGAAACAATCTCCCAAATACACACAAGTTCACGCTAAAAGTCACCACCACCGTTTTACCATTTTATTTGTGTAAGTAAGGAAAAGTTATATGGCGGGACAACATTATTACAATTTGGAGCGACGTTTCGGTGTAGTTTCTACACCCTTATCAAGCAAGTGATGTTAGAACCTACACCGAAACGTCTCTCCTAACTGTACATCTTTTCCTTGTTTAATACTCCAACTAAATTCTAAATGCCCCTCAAAGAAACTTTATTTGAGAAATAATAATACAATTTTTCGGATTCGGTGTATTCTCAAAAACAGCCACCATCGGTGGTATATAGGAGCATAACTTATGATACAGTTCATATAACAAGACAGTTATGTACATGAATTATATGAATATATTATATAATGCATACGGAAGATGTAATGTATATTTATCAAATATTATATGTCTGTTGTCAAAGGTAATATTAAGTGCTTTGACAAAATACATTTTGAAGGTAAGTCGGTATAGATCATGGTGAGGCTAATATCTCTGAAAGTTTGAAAATGACGACCATACCTTATTAGGCATATACTCATTCTGGTTCAAATTCACAAAGGATGCTATACTATACTATACCCCATCGCACCACACCACACCATATGCTGTATGATATGACTTCCCTTGACATGATATGATAACATTGATATTGGGTTTTCCAAATATGATTATCTTTTGTAACTATATTTTTATATGACTTTGTGGTGTTAAATTATGTTCATAATAATGCTATTCATGCACATCTCTTACGAAAACATCTCTAAATAAGTAACTCTTCAGTTTCCCGACAATGACATGAACATTCTTTGTCCCGACTGTGGTATTTTTAAGACGTTTATGTCATTATTATGTTTTTAAATCTTTCTAAAACAATCTTTGAAAAGCTACACAGCGACGAGGACAGCGCTTCCCTGAAGGCACCACATATGGCGAAAATTGTCCTCCGCCTATTGCAAATGTCCAAGTAGAATTTCATCCTATCTTAACATTTCACCAAAGTTCTATTATGTATAGGCATTGTGCATGGCAATATGTGACTTGTTAATAAAACATGGGTGCCTTTGTGCCCAGCAAATTCCCTGCCGCGCCCCTAAGAAGGCTCACTCAAAAGCTCTGTGCCACGTCCATTGTCTTTTTCCGCCATTGGCAATGCGTGTAAACTTGAGCGCTGCCTCTTCTTGTAAAATTAACATTTTTTGGGAATGTTATATATTATTCAGCGTGGCTCCTGGTAAAGAGATGTCAATATTTCATAGCGGATTACAAGCGCACTTTCCGCTCTGATTGGTCCCAATCAATAAGGATAGTTACAACGATGTTTCTGATTCAAACATTTGAAATAGGTAGATGAAATAATTTGAATTTCCTATATAACAGCCTGGGAGTACTTCCTTAATCACCTTGATATTTTTTTTATTTTATAACTTTTGCTATCACGATGGTTATCGTCAAAACTACTTATGCAACCAAGGTGTCTATTAACATATATAGACTCCTTAAGGAAGAAAATGTATGGATGTCAACGTTTATATTATGAGGAACACAACGTTTCGGAGCGTATACTTACTCGTTCACCTGATGCGAAGAAAGTATATACTCCAAAAGCGTTGTGTTCCTTATAATAAAGATCGCTATATGGCTGAAATATTGCCGATGCGATGTAAAAAATTTAACTCACACATAAAGAAGTTGACATCCTTAAACTCTCTTGCTTTTGTGTATCACTTCTAAATGCCATTCAAAGACTTGATATAGACTTCTTGACATGCCTAAGGTAACATGTTATTCGTATGATTAATACTTCGTGGTAGCTCTAGTATACGTTGTTGTTGTATTTGAAGTAGTTGTTGTAGCGCTAGCAGTTGTTGCTATTATAAAGGTTGTAGTAGTTGTTGTTGTAGTTTTAGAAGTGTACAATGGTGATTATCGCATAGAAGAGTATTGACTCCAGTTGAGTAGTGTTTGTGGAAGTAGTGGTAGCATATACATTTTTAACACTACAAAATGTAGTGGTAGAGTTTAATAGTGGCAAAGAGTAAATGCTGATTTGTCCGTTGTCAGCTCTGCTTTATATACACATTACTTCAGTCTGTAAGTAATCAATAGTGGGGTGATCGTAATCTAAGACTAAGACCGCAGGAAAATAGATGTTTTGTGGGCGTATATTTCTTTCAATCTGACGAAGGAGGTCAGTAATACTATAAGGAGGACAAAAGTAAGGAGGGAGTCAACTTTGGTTTTTCAACTGAAATCGTACAAGTTAATAACTGCAGGCCAGGTTTCACGAAGTGTTAGAGTTATACGACTACCGTAACTCTGTTTTTGTGTCTTAAAGCTTTAGTATTGACTAAAGCACAAACGTTGTCTACAACAAATCAACAATTCTTTGCTTAGAATGGCTGTACTCATGGCTTTCACCAAAGTAATACAGATTTACTACCTGCCATCTTCGATTATCAGTGTGTTGTATCTCTATTCTTTTTATGAATATCCTGAACCCATTCGACATTAAAGCTTTGTTTCAGAAGTGACGTCTCCATCGCAATCTCTGTTATCACTAACTTAGCACAGGATTTCTCTCGCTCATGGGTGCAATCTGATTGGACGGCTATATTTAGCGACGTCACTTTCGAATAGGGTTTAAAAAAGCTATGGTACCGAATTGATCCAGGCTATTTAACACAATAGAATTGAGATATAATACCTGGTTCATCAAGTTGAACAACCTGCATCAATTTCCTCACGCGCTGACAAGCCGTTATACCAACTCACCCACTATGTGGTTAGCAGCCGATATTCTCTGTCGTCACTTCCTGTAACTAGTTAAACCAGACTCGAGATATTTTTTCCTGAACGGATAACGATATCCCCAAATACCCGTGAAGATCCGGGGTAGATTAGGTCTTCAGCAACCCGTGCTTGCCGTAAAAGACGACTATGCTTGTCGGAAGATGCGACTAACGGGATCGGGCGGTTAGGCTCGCTGACTTAGTTGATGCATGTCATCGTATCCCAATTGCGTGGGTCGATGCTCATGATGTCAATCACTGTATTGCCTGATCCAGAATCGATTATTTACAGACCCCCGTCATATAGTTGGAATATTGCTGAGTTCGGCGTCAAACAACACAAGAAACAAACAAACAAACAAACAAACGATATCCCCAAAGTGGGGTGTCAGTAGGATGAGAATGGGAATGATTCATTTTATCTATGTTCTAGGATCTGTAAGAGAGACAATGGTTTTTATGACATTAATAGTAGAATATTTGAAAGCTGTCCAAATGTTAAATATTAAGAGATTTAAAATATTAAAAGTGTATTCTGGTTAAAATGAAATGAAAATCTCCGTTGCCAATTTTCAGCATCTACAAGAGTTACTAGACACAGTAAATGTGCTCTGTGAATTGACAAAATAATCTTTAAAGGATCCACTTCCTTCGATGTTTATATGCAATGTCCACCGACATACATACATATTTATTTCTTACTGTCGCAATAATACTTAATCACTTTTAATGGTTGTTTAATTACGCTAAATTACATTCACGATCAACAAAGTAGAAATGCATTAGTTATAAGTACCGGGCCCAAAGTTCAGTACGTACAGCAGTCAAGTTGTAACAGATGACACAAACTTCGCCAGTTCTGAATGGGATCTTTAACAGCCATTCCGAGAACCGATTCATTGCTGTAGCCACAGTAGAAAAAATCCGCTGAAATATAAACGGCCGTTTAGAATTAAGAACGTTTAATCTATGATAGAACCCAAAGTCTTTAGAAGACTGGATTGAACATATCTCTAAGAGAAGCATTCACGAAATCAGTTTCAGAAAATTACATACATTTGACATAAAATGTAAACGAAGCGTTTGAAAGCCGAATCGTCACAATGGCTGCATTCAGCTCGGTGTTTACCATTCATTACAAGGTTTAGGCTCTTTAGAACCGATAAATAAATGAGGGGGCACTGTGAGCGTTTTTAATCTGAGTAGGAATAATTAGAAAACTATGTGTCTAGTAACTGCAGTCAGTGCGAGGCTGCAATAACGACGGACTTCAAACGGAAAGTGCGAGTCATGCTCGTGCTAGATAAAACAACGCTGAGGTTTGGAAGTTGGAGATTAAAGACACTGACGGTTTAGATGGTGCATGTTTAATAGCCACTGCTTCCTGTCCGAACTTTATGCTAGGAAAACTAATACGTGAGAATGCCACTGTCTGACGTGCACGCGTCCTGTACGACCGGCGAACATGCTATATGGAAATATAACCTCTCATGTGTAGTTTTTGTGCTTGTGCTTTTATTAGTTGTTAATTCTTAAAGCCAGTTTCACAGCTTTACAAGATACGGATGGGTGACATGCCAACATTTATTTATGTGTATATATCATCATCCCAGTAATATATATCATCCTCATCTCATTTTAAAACTATTCTTTTTAATTTGAGGGAGCGAAGGAAAGGTAGTGCATCAACGACCTGACATCATCGCAAGGCAGAAAAATACATCGTGTTGTATAGTCTATAATGTTGTCAAACCGTTGACTATGAAGAACAGTGAACGGTAGAACTACAGATGTGAAATAATTTTCATAACATATAGCTAATAATATGATTCCCGTTTCTGCTAAACAACTTTACTCACACAAGTTGCGCATAATTTGTTTTCATTTTAAACTAGCGCCAGTTTTAACGCATTCTGTAATATTAAAGCATTCTATTAAAAATAAACGAAACTTAAAAAATCCGCACGCGATCGCCTCAATCGTGTGAGACACAACGACGCCGAATAAAACAAAACATTTTTTCACTTTTACACAGCTCATCAAACGATATCTGTGTAATTAGCCGCCGATTAAGAAAGTTGTTTTTACAATAGAATGAGAGACGCGAGCTAGAGAATGACAACAAGACGACATAGTGTCGATGTTGAGATAGCTAATAACAGCACCCGAGATGAAAGACGGCATCAACACGATGATAATGGGGGATAATCGGTTAGGCCCCAGGCTGATTGGTTTAAGCCATCTCTGGTTGCAGGTACTATAAAAATATTATCAGGCCAGAAAAAACTCTTTCAGGATTAAGCTATCTTCTGATATGATTTATCCTTTCCGAGTCGATTTTTGTTGTTTTTAAGACCATTGACACCTTTTTTTAAATGTTTAATGCACAAGCCGGTCACATATTGTTTGATTTCTAAGAAGTTGACGGATGACAAAGCAAGATTTGTCGTACTTTCATTTGGATTTTTATCTGAACTTATTTTTGGATGAAAGGGTATATTATTTCACGAGAAAAAATAAGGAGGGAGAAATATGGCTTCATCTATGCACGATAAATGGGGAGAGAGAGAGAGAGGGGAGAAGAGAAAGGGTGTGCGAGAAACAAGAAGGGAGAGGCTTCATCTATGCACGAGAGAGAGAGACAGGGAGAGAGAGAGGAGAAGAGAACGGGTGTGCTAGAAACAAGAAGGGGGAGGCTTCATCTATGGACGAGAGAGAGAGAGGAGGAGAGAAAGGGTGTGCTAGAAACAAGAAGGGAGAGGCTTCATCTATGCACGAGAAAGAGGGACAGAGGGAGAGAGAGAGGAGAAGAGAACGGGTGTGCTAGAAACAAGAAGGGGGAGGCTTCATCTATGGACGAGAGAGAGAGAGGAGGAGAGAAAGGGTGTGCGGGAAACAAGGAGGGAGAGGCTCCATCTATGCACGAGAAAGAGGGACAGAGGGAGAGAGAGAGGAGAAGAGAACGGGTGTGGTAGAAACAAGAAGGGAGAGGCTTCATCTATGCACCAGAAAGAGGGACAGAGAGAGGAGAAGACAAAGGGTGTGCGGGAAACAAGAAGGGAGAGGCTTCATCTATGCACGAGAAAGAGGGACAGAGGGAGAGAGAGAGGAGAAGAGAACGGGTGTGCTAGAAACAAGAAGGGAGAGGCTTCATCTATGCACCAGAAAGAGGGAGAGAGAGAGAGAGAGAGAGAGAGAGGAGAGAAAGGGTGTGCGGGAAACAAGAAGGGAGAGGCTCCATCTATGCATGAGAAAGAGGGACAGAGGGAGAGAGAGAGGAGAAGAGAACGGGTGTGGTAGAAACAAGAAGGGAGAGGCTTCATCTATGCACGAGAAAGAGGGACAGAGAGAGGAGAAGACAAAGGGTGTGCGGGAAACAAGGAGGGAGAGGCTTCATCTATGCACGAGAAAGAGGGAGAGAGAGAGGAGAAGACAAAGGGTGTGCGGTAAACAAGGAGGGAGAGACTTCACCTTTGAACGAGAAAGAGGGAGAGAGAGAGGGGAGGAGAGAAAGTGTATGCGAGAAGCAAGAAGGGAGAGGCGTCACCTATGCATGAGAAAGAGGGAGAGAGAGAGGAGAGAAGAGAAAGGGTGTGCGAGAAACAAGAAGGGAGAGGCTTCATCTATGCACGAGAGAGAGAGAGAGAGAGAGAGAGAGAGAGAGAGAGAGAGAGAGAGAGAGAGAGAGAGAGAGAGAGCAAGAAAAAGTAGTGAGAGAGGAGAGAAGTGTCAGCTATGCACGAGAGAGGAAGGGAGTGAGAGGGGCGTTTCTTCTATGGCACCGAATGTGTCCACGCTATTTGCCATAATAGAATGACGATTATTTGGGTAATCGAGGTTGGTGACATTCTTGGATACTGATAGTCGACCTTAAATGTGCGATGTCCCCCACAAACTTTGTAAGGATTAGTTTGGCCTAGGCACATCCACTCTCGGGGGTTATGATAGAAGTCCGGCCTTTAGTGGATGACCAAATTGTTTCAACGTTCCAGCTTGAGACCTTTCCCTTGTGAAGCGTGTTGATTGAACGATGAACTAATTCCAAGCCCTTGAAGTTCCATTAGGGCCAAATTAAGCTTGGAACCTCATGCTACCTTTCTGTTTACATTCTACCATATTTAACACACAAATATTCAAACATGTGGCACTTATTAACTCGTTGATTTAAAAAAAATGATTGGAATTAAGTCATAAGCTTGCTTTAAATTGCATAACGGATTTCGAATTATCTTGTATTAATCTGAACGTAATACAATTAGTTCCAGCCGAGACTTCCAAACACTGACTACTAGTATACGTCACCGATTTGGGCTTGTATTTTCCGGAACTCTATTTGTCAGTGTGGAAATCTGTTTGAGTTTGCGTCAGAAAAAAAGTGGAACACTTTCAAGTTTGTTTACATGCATTAAAGTTTGTCCTAATTGCATCCTATAAATTCAGTAACCTGAACCGAAACTGTAATTAATATTTTGTCAGCGAACAGAGAATAAGATCATCACCATAAACTCAGCACGTTAAGAGAACGCCCAAGGAAATTGAAGTACCAGTGATGTGGCCTGTAGCCGCGCAGAGGGGAGAGGCACCTTGGGTTGGTTGAACAGTGTTCCCCTTGAACATAAACGTCATGTCCTGATGCATGTTATGATGCACACACGGTCGGACTGTAGCATATGAATAGTTGTGGGCCTTCCCTTGCTACTGCCGTTGTTCCCGATGGTAACAATGGCTGGTTCACGCGTATAGGGCAAGCAGGATGCAGGTGGTCTTTAATATAAAAACTAGAGGCACGTACTTAGCGTTTGATGTTTGGAGACAAAAAGGGTCTGTGCTAATTTGCAATTTTCCAATACGGGCTGTTTCGTCAGGTCACCGCTATATGTCATGCATAATCTCCAACTCTCCATCTGTATCATCGCCACTCCTCTTCTGTATCATCTCCACTCCTCTTCTGTATTATCGCCACCCCTCTTCTGTACCATATCCTACCTCTTCTGTATCATCTTCACCGCTCTTCTGTACCATCTCCGACATCTTCTGTGCCATCTCCACTCCTCTTCTGTATCATCTCCACACCTCTTCTGTATCATCTCTACTCCTCTTCTGTATCATGCTCTGTCCTCTTCTGTATCATCTCCACGCCTCTTCTGTAGCATCTCCACTCCTCTTCTGTAGCATCTCCACTCCTCTTCTGTATCATATCAACTTCTCTTCTGTATCATCGCCTCTCCTCTTCTTTATCATCTCCACGCCTCTTCTGTATCATCTCCACTCCTCTTCTGTATCATCCACATTCCTCTTCTGTATCACCCCATACTTCTTATGTATCATCTCAACTCCTCTTCTGTATCACCGCCTCTCCTCGTCTTTATCATCTCCATCCTTCTTCTGTATCATCTTCACTCCTCTTCTGTATCATCTCCGCTCCTCTTCTGTATCATCTCCACTCCTTATCTGTATTATCTCCACTCCTCTTCTGTGCCACCGCCACTCCTCTTCTGTGTCATCGCCACTCCTCTTCTGTATCACCCCATCCTTCTTCTGTATCACATCCACTCCTCTTCTGTATCCCCCCCTCTCCTCTTCTGTGTCATCTTCATCCTCTCCTGGGGCGGTCGGGTAGCCTAGTGGTTAAAGCGTTCGCTCGTCACGCCGAAGACCCGGGTTCGATTCCCGACATGGGTACAATGTGTGAAGCCCATTTCTGGTGTCCCCCGCCGTGATATTGCTGGAATATTGCTAAAAACGGCGTAAAACCATACTCACTCACTCACTCATCCTCTCCTCTTCTGTATCACCCCATCCTTCTTCTGTATCACCTCCACTTCTCTTCTGTATCATCGCCTCTCCTCTTCAGTGTCATCTCCATCCTCTCCTCTTCTGTATCATCTCCACTCCTCTTCCGTATCACCCCATCCTTCTTCTGTACCACCTCCACTCCTCTTCTGTATCATCCCCTCTCTTCTGTATTATATCCACCCCTCTTCTGTACCACCTCCTTCTCTTTTCTGCGTCATTCCCACCCTCTTCTGTATCATCCCCACCCATCTGTATAATCTTCAACGCTTCTGTACCACTCCATCATAGATCACGCTACATCAACCATCATGCATCACCTCCATCAACCATCACGCATCACCACCATCAACTATCATGTATCGCATCCATCAACCATCATGCATCACTTCCATCAACCATCATGTATCGCATCCATCATCCGTCATACATCACCTCCATCAACCATCACGCATCACCACCATCAACCATCATGCATCACTTCTATCTACCATCATGCATCACTTCCATCAACCATCATGGATAAATTCCATCATCCGTCATACATCACCTCCATCAACCATCACGCATCACCTCCATCAACCATCATGCATCACTTCCATCAACCATCATGCATCACTTCCATCTACCATCATGCATCACTTCCATCTACCATCATGCATCACTTCCATCTACCACCATGCATTACCTCCATCACCCACCACGCATCACCTCCATCAACCATCATGCATCACCTCCATCACCCACCACGCATCCCCTCCAACAACCATCATGGATAAATTCCATCATCCGTCATACATCACCTCCATCAACGATCATGCATCACCTCCATCAACCATCACGCATCACCTTCATCAACCATAACGCATCACCACCATCAACCATCATGGATAAATTCCATCATCCGTCATACATCACCTCCATCAACCACCACGCATCACCTCCATCAACCATCGTGCATCACCTCCTTCAACCGTATCTCACATGAGCATGCATGTGTCAGTCCCCGTATCTCACCTGAGCATGCTTGTCTCAGTCCCCGTTTCTCACCTGAGCATGCTTGTCTCAGTCCCCGTATCTCACCTGAGTATGCTTGCGTTAGTACCCGTATCTCACCTGAGCATGCTTGTCTCAGTCCCCGTATATCACCTGAGCATGCTTATCTCTGTCCCCGTATCTCACCTGAGCATGCTTATCTCTGCCTCCGTATCCCACCTGAGCATCCTTATCTCAGTCCCCATATCACACCTGAACGCGTTCTACCCCACCTGCATGGCATCTCTCTTCAAAGGCTCTACTCACTTACCAGTATAACCCTCCTATAAACGAAAGCGACCAATGTGGCGGAAAATTGACAGTCTGTTTGGAGGGGAGTGAGACTTGAGAGGGTGTGTGTGTGTGTGATTATCTCCTCACATATAAACAGAAGGTAGGTTAACCGCGTGTTGTGAGGGTTCAATAGATCACATGTGTTGACTCACACCTCTAAGATCTATGCAAGAACACTGTCTACCAACAGCTTGTGAGGTGGGAAATTGAGGCCAGGCGATATTGATGGGCTGCAGTTTACTGCATCCATACACACAGATAGCTTATGGCAAGTCAATGCATAGTAGCACGACATGAAAATGTTGTATGGAATCTTAGAAGGAACATTGTCGCGTCGTTGCCTTTCTAAAACCAAGGAGAAAGTGAAAAAATGATCAGAGAGCGACAGCGTGACATTTCAGTAATATTGCCGCGCTGTCTAATTGCAGCGATTTGAATAATAATATAATAATATATAATGTCGCGTTGTCGCATTGTCACCCTTTGTTAAAAACTCAAAGGGCGACAATGCGACAACGCGACATTTTGACCATTTGTTGCATTTTGGCACATTTTGCTTGGTTTTGTTAGGGCGAAGCTGAAACAATGTCCCTTCTAAGATTCAATACATCAGTTTCATTTTGTGCCTTTATCACCTGATTTTGCGTTGACTTGCCACAAACTATCTGTGTGTTTTGGTACAGTAAACTGCAGCATTAAACCAATAGATAAAAGCGACAAAATTCTTTCCGACGATTGTACGATTCGACTGTATCATAAGCATTATGAATCACTTTCAAATAATGATGATACCAGGTGTTCCCGAAAAGGTCTGAATATCCTGCCCCATCGGTAGTACCCGTCACAAACACTT